ATCAACAAAACCAATTAAGATAAAAGCAGACATTAATGAATAAAATAAACAAAAAACCTCTCACAATAGAATATATGAATAAACTCAAAAGCTTTTCAATGAAAAATATATAAATACACCACTGAATAGCCTAGTCAAGTAAGGGACAATGAATAAATATACGACTTTTGAAAACCTATATTGAGTGGATGATTTTCTAGAAAAATATAAATTACCAAATTTTATGTAAGAACAGTTAAATAGAATGAGAGTAATAAAAAAAATTGAAAACATTATCAGGGAGCCACACCTCCACACATATCAGGCCACATGGTTTCACACTAACTTTTTTTATCTTCAAGGAAAGGATAAATTCAGTACTGTTTAAATTTTTTTGAACATAAAGAATCCTTTCAACATAAGAAACGAATATAGCATTGTCATCGAAGCTTTTTGAAGAGAGAATAAAAAGCTATAGACAAATTCTCGTTATGAATATCTATGCAAAAGTCTTGCATAAGATATTATCAAATAGAATTCAGCAGGATATTAATACACATCACAAGCAGGTAGGGTTGTAAGAATTATTTATTATTAGGAGATCTGTTAATATTATTCACCATATCAAGTTAAATGGGAGCAAAAATAACACCAGGAAGGTGTTTTAAAATTGGACATCTACTGCTGATTAAACAGTAAATAAAATTCTTATTAATTCTGAGTAGTAGGTAATCTCTTGATGTTGTAAATATACATCTTAAATTAAAAGCCAGCATCATGGTTAATGGTGAAACTCAAAAAGCATACCCATTAAATTTGGGAACAAGGAAAGGATGCCTGCTACCATCACAATTGTTTAACATTGTTCTAGAAAGGCTAGCCAATGCATTTAGGAAGAAAGAAGTATGCACCCTACATGTCAGTAGAAAGAAGCCAAATTATCTTATTGTAAATATGACTGTTCCTCAAACACCTAAATAAATAAACTAAAAATATTAATAATAATAAGAGAACTCTGTGAACTACCTGAATACAAAATCAGTTGGTAAAACCCAATATTTAGCCTATCTACTAAAATAAATATCTAGGAAATATAATGGAATAAAAATTCTATACAATAGCTTCAATAATACAAAAAGTCTAAAAACAAAATTAACAAGATATAGGTAGAAACTTATAAGAGAGAAATTTTAAACTCTACTGAGAGATCTAAACAAAGGACAAAATAAATGGAACAATATATCTTGTTCTTGGATTGGAAAATTATAATATATCTTTTTCTTGGATTTGAAGATGGTGCAAAAATGTCAATTTCTCCTAAAATTAACCTATAATATTAATACAATCCTAATTTTCAATCTCAATTAGAATACCCAAAATAGCCTTTGAAGTTTTACTAACAATGTAAAGAGCTAACATGTAAGACCTAGAACAATTTTGACCCGTGTTCAATGAATTATCTATTTTTCAATATACATATCTAATCTGAAATATATATGTATAATCCACTTTTCTTCTCCCCATATCCACACAGAATCAAAACTTAGTTATTATTTGTGAAAGACACAATCACTCAAACAGATTTTGAGATCTAGACTAAACACTGAACAGTGAGATTCTGGGGGCTTGTAAGGTGGGCTGAATCAAGGAACCAGTGGCTTCTTCCATTAAGTTTGCACTTCCAAACCCAATAAAGGGTCTTTTTGAATCAGAATTTGCCTTCTTGAGATGGCAGTTTTAATTTTAAAAAACATATATATATGAGGGGTATTCAAAAAGTTTGTGGAAGGATTCGTATTATCTTTTAATTCTATCTTTCTACAAACTTTTTGAAATACCCTTGTATATACACATACATATATACATATGTGTGTGTGTATTTTTTTATATCTCTGGAATTGTACATTGTACTGTTAAATTTAATAAACACTATAAAGTAATATGCAGTTTATGAAAATTCAAATATATATTCATTTGTATATTTATATATTCATATCAGAATATTAACAGGAATTTCTTCTGAGTATTAGAATTTTGGCCGATTTTTATTTTTTATATACCACTCTTTTTCTAATGTGTTTTATGTTTGTAATTTTAAAAATATTTTAAAAATAAAATTTTTTAAAAGCTATTTTTCCCCCCAGACACTGAAGTTAAATTAAATACACACATTCTCTTTTATTTTGTCTGTTGAATATGTCCACATTTTCACCAGATGTAGAACCCATCTCAGTTTATTCCTTGTTTGCTCCATCTCAGACTGCCAAGGAGACTATGGTGAGATCCCCAGGCAGTTCTGGATGAGAGAGAAAAGCTGGTGGCCTGGCCAAGATGCCAATGTGGGGGGACTATTCCACCAAGCTCAGCTTCTTTGGGAGTCAGGTTTGCCCTTAATGCAGGTAGAGTTGAGACTCTGGCCTAGGAGAGCAGTATTTAGAGTGCTACTGAGGGAGTAAGGGAACCTCAGGAGAAGTCTTAAAGTCCATCCAAAGTTGTGGGACCATCCAGGCCTTTGAGGCCAAAAAGGAGAAAATATGAGGCCTGCTGGTCTCCAGTCTCCAGATTTTCAAGAAGCACTAGACAAGAATGCTGTAGAGAAAAGGGAGAAAGGAGATGATCCAGAAAGGATTGTTTAAACTCATGGGATCTCTCCAGAGAAGAGCAACTCAGAATAAGGAAGGAGGCTAACCCCAAGCCTCAGACCTGCTCCCCCAATCCAGACCATCCCAGATCAGCCCCTGGGACTTCTTCCCAGACTTTGCTCTTCACAAAGGTCTTTATGAGTGTGTTTTGTTTGACCTTGTCCTAACTCTATGAGGAAGTTGGATTAAATGTTATTCCACACATCTAACAAAGATAATGAGCTTCAGAGACGTTTGTTACTTATATGGCTGGGAGGTGGGAGAGGTGGGCCTCCAGCTCTATGGAGTTGATTGCAAATCCAACATCCTTCCAGGGGCCAATATTGATCTCATTTCCCTGAACAAGCTGCAGGCCTTTACAAGCTCCTAAAACTGGTCATTGGCCCAGCAACTCTAAAGATTTCTCTTCTTACCAAGGACCCTTGAAAAGCTCTCATGTACTCCTGGCCCATGGGATTGGAGGGCTCCCAGGAGGCTGGAGCTAGGGCTGGGGCTAGAAGGGGAGGTCTCATTGGCTTCCACTTAGCTCACGGCTCTATGGAGGCTTTGCAGTGGTCCCAAAATTTCTTTATTTTGCCTCCACCCTCAGCAGCTCTGTCTCTTATATGGGGCCTCCTTCCTTAACAGACCCGGTGTCTTTTCAACATCTGCCCTCCACCCTCTGTCCCCATCCTCTCACATTAGAATCCAGGGACACGGGCCGGCCCGGTGGCACACTGCTACAGTGCGCCGCTTGGGAGTGTGGCTGTGCTCCCGCTGAGGGTTCAGATCCCACATACAGACCGGTTCCCGCTCACTGGCTGAGTGAGGTGCGGGCACGACACTGAGGGTTGTGATCCATTGCCAGACATGAAAAAAGACAAAAAGGAAAAAAAAAAAAAAGAATCCAGGGACTCATTGTGATGAGCGAGTTGTTTAGGGAAGAGAGTTCAGAAGAGCTGTAGAGATTATAGAACAGTATAAGCAGTGCAACCTTGATTGTAATCACGCAAATTGCATAATTTTATGATTTCATAATTCTTTTTCTGGCATTATGCCCCAGCCACAGCCATAAAAATACCAATGCTTTGTCTTTTGAGATGTCAGATAGGGACTAATAATATGAGCATATAGGAAAAAGCCCTTTATGAATCTGGAACAGCATAATGTAAATTAATAGTGTTGCTATGACCACATTCTGATGTAGAATGAGTGGGTGATTCTTTTTTTTTTTCCTTTTTGTCTTTTTTCGTGTCCGGCAACAGATCGCAACCCTCAGTGTCGCGCCCGTACCGGACCGGGACCGGCAACGGGATCGCAAACCTCGGTGCTGCGCCCGCACCTCGCTCAGCCAGTGAGCGGGAACCGGTCTGTATGTGGGATCCGAACCCTCGGCGGGAGCACCACCGCGCTCCCAAGTGGCGCACT